GCGGCCATCTCAGCCAGCCGCCTGGGCTGCTTCGGTTCGGTCCATCCCCGCCAAGGGAAGAGAGAAAGGGCTCAGGCAGAGCCCCGTGGAAGGAGGGGAAGGGACAGATGCTTCCCGCACAGACAGGGGAGCGCCGCTGACCCAGCTGCTGTCGGAAGCACCCACCCCTACCCTGGCAAACGCTGACCCGGAGATTAGAAGCTTTCTGAGCAGCGAGCAAAAGCAAAAATGCCGAGGTATAAAGGCCGACGCAATTCTGCATCCTTCACTCCATGGGCCCGACGAGAGAGGCCGTTTTGGCAGCGCCTCCAGCCTGCCACGGAGCGAGCGCTCCTCCCAAATCCTCATGGATGCCAGGGGATGTCCCCGCCACCAAGGTACGAGGCACTGAGAACCAAAAGCTCGCACACGAACACCACTGCGTTTCTGCAAGCCAGATGCGTGTTAATACAGAAGTCACCGCGACACCGCATTTGCTGCGAGCTGCGGGGCACCAAACGGCTCTCGTGGCCCTTCCTGGCCTTAGCTCGAGAAGCAACATCGCCGGGGCCGGCCCCGGGTCTGGGCAATGCCGCCAGCTGAACCACACGGGTTTAAAACCCCGGATTTCCAATGTTCCCCCTCTGGCTCTCACCACGCGCCCGCTCCTCCTGCTCCACGGCCAGAGAGCCGCCCGCACCATGTCACACCATCACTCCCTCCTGTTTTTTCTCCCCAAGCGTGGGCTTGGTTTCCTACAGCAGGGCTTACTCAGTTCCCAGAATAACATTTCCCACGACTGTCAGAGCCGCATGCAGCTATCACCTCTAAAAAAACCCCGCTGGAGCCGCAGTTTCCTTGGGATCAACCCCTCTTCTCCTCAGCTGCTGGCGCAGCGCAGCCGTGTAAAGACACACCCGGACACCTCTGTGTCACCCCCCCCCCCCAGCCACTTTCTCCTGCAAGGCACACTTATGCTTTCTGACAAGAGAGGTCTTTGCACTATTCCAACCCAAATTATTCTGCAGCCTCCGACCTGCCCCGCCTGCGCTGGGGAGGGGCGCCATGGCATACCAGAGGCCAGCGCCGAAGGGGAAAGCCGCAAGAACTCTGCAAAAAGGAACAAAAAGCGGTCGGAGCATGGCCCCCCCTGCTTTCTGGCTGTGCCCCAGCTCCCAGCACACCAGAGGCCTGAGCCTTGCCCGCTCCGGGAACACGGCCGGGGGGGCTTTGCCTGTTATTGCGATTTGCCTGCGACGCGAAGGCCACTCTCCCTCGGACCGGCTGTGCGGGAGCTGGCTACGCCGCACCTCCGGCCCAGGAACGCACGCCCATGGTGCCAGATCCACAGCCAAAAACCAAGGTCCCCATTTATCAACAAAGGGACGACACCCACTCCCGTCCCTCACCCAGACGCATCGTTTCTGAAGGGAAAACCCAGGACACCTGCACCAGCGCCCGCACCAAGCTCTGGCGTCCCCCCACAGCGGTGCGCTCCCCTCGCCCGGCGCCCCGGCCGGGCAGCTCACGCGTGCTGTTGTGTCCCCGTGCAATTCACCCCAGCTGACACGCGGAGGCCACGTCTTTACACAAGTTTTATTTGTCCCGCATGTTTTCCCTATGCTGCTTTTAAAACTTCTGGAACTGCTTCTTGGTACCAGCAGCTTTCGTGACTTTGAGGACGTTGAAGCGGACAGTCTTGCTGAGGGGACGGCACTCTCCCACGGTGACGATGTCCCCGATCTGGACATCCCTGCAAAGACATCACCGGTATCTCAGCGGGTCTGAGCTCCCTGTGTTTACGCTGGGCTTTGCCCGGCGGCGCAGACATTTGCCTTGTGTGACGCTGCCGCGCGACACAGCCCCCGAGGCCACCTCGGACACTGCCGGCTGTGAAGCGAGAAGGCTTTAATTATAGAAATGTTTTGGGTGGGAAGGGACCCCCAGAGGTCACCCAGCCCAACCCCCCCGCAGGAGCAGGGACACCTTGAACCACATCAGGTTGCTCACAGCCCCGGCCAACCTGGCCTGGAATGGTCCCAGGGATGGGGCCTCCACCCCCTCTCGGGGCAACCCCTGCCAGGGTTTCACCCCCCTCACTGGAAAGAATTTCTGCCTTAGATCCAGTCCAAAGCACTGCAAAGATGAGCGTGCCTAGAAAGCAGCGGTCGCCCCCACCCCCCCCGTCTGCCACAGGGGGTCTGGGGGAGCCCACAGGGGGGCCGGGGGGCCGTCACTCCACAACTGTAGGCAAAGCTGAATGCAAGCTTTCCAAGAGTGGGACGAGTGCCGAGCACTGAAGGGAAACCCTCGGGGATGGGGGAGTTCCCCCTCCCAGCAGCACACGGGCTCAAAGCACTTCTTAAGCCAGATCAGCTGGACAGCAACGCTAAGCCTGGCTTCTCTGGGAACCTGCACTCCAAAGACAGGCTTGAGAAACACATGGCAGATGAAAAACCCCCCAACAACCCAGCCTCTGAACCTGCCCCCTCTGGCCTCCACATTTACCCCAGAAACATCCAGGCTT